GGTGCAGTGGTTGAAAAAGTTCTTCGAACTATGCCGATGAAGTATGACCATGTGGTGGCTTCAATAACAGAGTCACACAAAACCGAGCTCTTATCAATTGCAGAGCTGAAAGGTATGGTAGAAAGTCATATTAACAGGATTGCGTCAAAATCGGAACCACTAGCAGAAGAAGCTTTGAAGAGTCAAGTCACCCTTAATGTGACTGGCACTAATCAAAGAGGTGGAGGATCTGGTAGAGGTCGTGGAAGAGGAAGATGAGGTTCTGGTGGAAGAGGTCGTGGTAACTTCAACTAAGGAGGAGGACGTGGTAACTCCAACCAAGGAAGAGGTGGAGGTAATACCAAACAAGGTAAATTTTCATTTCATTGCTACAATTGTGGCAAGTATGGGCACAAGATTGCAGATTGTTGGTATAATGAGGACAACAATCGTGGAAATCAAGCAAACATTGCTGAAAACACTGCTGAAAAGTCTGGTGAGAGTTCTGAAACTTTACTTTTAGCCAGCGATAGTTTTTCTGTAGATAAGAACATATGGTTCTTGGATACTGGGTGTAGTAACCATATGTGTGGGAAGAAAGAATTGTTTTCTGAATTGGATGAATCAGTCCGGTCTGAAGTAACGTTTGGCAATAAGTCAAAGGTGCCAATTTTGGGAAAAGGTAAAATCTCTATTCAGTTGAAGGATGGTACTCACAATTTTATATCCGATGTGTTCTATGTTCCTGAACTACACCAAAATTTGTTGAGTATGGGTCAGTTGTCAGAAAAATGATATAAGATACATATTGCTCAGGGGTGTTGTACCATTGCAGATGCTAAAGGAGTTTTGATTGCAAAGGTAAATATGTCCCAAAATCGACTATTTCCTTTGAAAATTAAGCATACTCTCCTTGCTTGCTTTAATTCTGAAGTTTGTGATGATAATTGGTTATGGCATATGCGGTTTGGGCATTTTCATTTTTCTGGGTTAAACTATCTTGCGAGAAAGGAACTTGTTTCTGATTTACCTGTTGTGAATGTCCCTAATCGTATCTGTGAGATTTGTGTGATTGGGAAAAAGCATAGAGATCCCTTTCCCGTGGGCAAGTCAAGGAGAGCCACAAAACAGTTGGAGATTGTTCACTCAGACCTGTGTTCGTTGGAGGTTCCCTCATATGGAGGTTGTAAGTACTTTATTACTTTCTTTGATGATTTCAGTAGGAAAACATGGGTTTACTTTTTGAAGCAAAAGTCTGAAGCATGTGATGTTTTCAAACAATTTAAGGCTTTTGTTGAAAAGCAAAGTGGTTATGAAGTTAAAATCTTGAGAACTGATAGAGGTACAGAATATATTGCTTGTGATAATTTTCTGAAAGAAAAGGGTATTCAGCACCAAATGACAGCTAGATACACTCCACAACAAAACGGAGTGGCTGAGAGGAAGAATAGGTCAATCATGGATATGGTGAGGTGCATGTTGAAATCCAAGGATCTGCCTAAACCTTTTTGGGCAGAAGCTGTTGCTTGTGCTGTCTATGTGTTGAATAGGTGTCCAACTAAGAGTGTCCGTGATAAGACGCCCGAAGAAGCTTGGAGTGGGAGAAAACCCTCTATCAAATATCTCAAGGTTTTTGGATGTTTGGCATATGCCCACGTGCCGGATCCATTGAGAAAGAAGTTGGATGATAAAGGTGAGAAATGCATATTCATTGGTTATAGTGACGCTTCAAAGGCTTATAAACTATACAATCCTGAAACTAAAAAGGTTGTTATAAGTCGTGATGTCACTTTTGATGAATATGGTGCCTGGGATTGGTTAGCTAAAGATGAAAGTTCAGTTGTTATTCCTGCTGTTGAAAATATTGTTGAAGAGCAACCGATTCCAGATAATGTCCAGTCTCCTTCACAGCCAGAATCGTCAGTTCGGCGATCTCAGCGCGAGCGCCACTTACCAGCTCGCTTGCAAGATTATGTTTTGGGTCATGATAATGACCTGTCTGATGAAGAGATTGTTCAATTTGCTCTCTTTGCAGATTGTGATCCTTTAACTTTTGAGGAGGCTGCTACAGAAACTCATTGGCTTAAGGCGATGGATGAGGAGATACGTGCCATTGAAAAGAATGGTACCTGGGAGTTAACAGATTTACCTCCTGGAAAGAAGCCGATTGGAGTAAAGTGGGTTTACAGAACGAAGTACAAATCAAATGGAGAAATTGACCGTTTTAAGGCACGGTTGGTAGCAAAGGGTTACAAGCAAAAACCAGGTATTGATTATTTTGAGGTTTTTGCTCCTGTAAGTAGACTTGATACAGTTCGAATGGTTATTTCTCTTGCTGCTCAAAATGATTGGAAATTGCATCAAATGGATGTCAAGTCTGCTTTTTTGAATGGTTTTCTTGAAGAAGAAATATATGTTGAACAACCTGCAGGATTTCTGAAGAAAGGGGAGGAAAATAAAGTGTACAGGTTGAGAAAAGCTTTGTATGGCTTAAAGCAAGCGCCTAGGGCGTGGTATGGTTGCATTGATTCATATTTTGTTGAAAGTGGTTTTATGAGATGTCCTCATGAACACACTTTGTATGTCAAATGCACGGATTCTGGTGATATTGTTCTAATCTGTCTGTATGTTGATGATCTGGTTTTTACTGGAAATAACTTGAAGTTAATCTCAGAATTCAGGGAGGCACTCATTAAGAGGTTTGAAATGACCGATATGGGCCTTATGTCTTACTTTCTTGGCCTTGAGGTTGTTCAGATGGATGGTGGAATCTTTATTTCACAAAAGAAGTATGCTGTTGATATTTTGAAAAAGTTCAAAATGGAAAACTCCAAACCAGCTTCAACTCCGGTAGCTGAAAAGTTAAAGGTGTCCAAAGATGAGTGTGGTAAGAATGTGAATGTTACGTCTTATAAAAGCTTAATTGGGAGTTTGAGGTATCTGGTGGCAACTAGGCCAGATATTTCTTTTGGAGTTGGAATACTTAGCAGATTCATGGAGGAACCAAAAGAATCACATTGGGCTGCAGCAAAGCGAATTCTGAGATATGTCAAAGGTACGAGTAATGATGAAATTTTTTACTCTACAAATGAAGCTGTGAAACTTGTTCGGTATACAGACAGTGATTGGGCTGGAGATGTTGAGACCAGAAAAAGCACATCAGGATATGCCTTCTATCTTGGTTCAGCCATATTTTCTTGGTCTTCAAAGAAGCAGCAGATTGTAGCACTTTCAACCGCAGAAGCAGAATATATTGCAGCAGCAAACTGTGCTACTCAAGCAGTTTGGCTGAGGAGAATTTTGGAGTTCTTACAACACGAGCAGGAAGCACCTACGACTATTTTTTGTGACAACAAGTCAGCAATTTCGTTGTCCAAAAATCCAGTCTTTCATGGTCGTAGCAAACACATTGATATCAAGTATCACAAAATTAGAGAGTTGGTTGCTGAAAAGCAAATCAACATTGAGTATTGTTCAAGTGAATGTCAAGTTGCAGATATCTTTACGAAGCCGTTGAAGACGGAGACATTTCTTAAATTGAAGAAGGAAATTGGGATGACCAATATATCCAACTTGGTTTAAAGGAGGCAATGTTATAATAATATTAGTAATAATATTATTATTAATTAAACCAAGTCAATATTAAAATGAAATGTGAGGTGTGTGAATGTGAACGTGGGTCATGCAGCATTACTACGTGGATCATGGATTAGCAATACATGCACCATTAGTCCTAAATTGTAGCTATGTTTATTATTCTTCTTTTTAGTATAAATAGGCTGTGTATCCACACTTCCAAAATCATCAATCAAATTATTCATGCATTCCTCTCTCTCTTTCTCTAAATATATATAAATATAATATATAAATATATTATATTTAATATATCTTATAGATATATATTATATTATATTTAATATATATATTATATTAAATATATTATATTTAATATATCTTTCATAAACTAAAAAAAAATAAAAATAATTTTGGACTTGCACTTAGTTTTACCAAGATTAAGTTGCATTCGTATCTTATTGAAATTTCAATAAGAATCAAAGTCTACGTAGTTCTCTTACCGTTTTTTAAGAGTCAGTTTGTTCCTCTTCGGTTGCCGTGGTTGTATCATTTGGAAATAAATCGTTGATGATGCTTGATTTGTTGTTTTCTTGTCGTCTAAGTTTTGTCAATCCCCAATCGGCTGTGCAAACTTGAATTTGGATTCATTGCAATGTCATTCTTGAATGAGTCTCGTCTAACATGTTTCCACCTGCACTAAATTCATGTTCTACTGTTCCAGTAGAAGCATGAGTTCCAAAAATTTATTTTGCAATAATAGATAAAATAGGGAAAAAAAATTCATGGTCTTTCCACCACTGCAAAACATCAAGTTCACTATCATTATCCAAAAATACAAAATCAGTATTTAAATATATTTCTACCTCGGATAATGCTAGAGATGATGATGAATCTGTCCCACTTGTCCGACGACTTTTACCTGCTCTAGCTAACAGGTTAAAGCCTTTGCTTCGTTGAGATGATTGCGAGCTCTACGAACTACTATGGGAAGACATACTAATATATATTCAACGAAGGACATAAGTCTGTAAATATTCTTCACACAAACTACGAAACAAAGTTGTTATTTCACTATGTACAATATTAATATTAACATAATCTCAGTCCATATTATCAACAATTCTAAACATTGATAATAATTTTGTAAAAATGCATTTAAACCTACTAATTTAAAGCGAGGATCAAAACACATTACAATTAAATAAATTAAAGGAATAGTTCTATAATATTCTAAAAATTTTGATTTAATATACAGAAAATAGCATCACACTATCAGTCATGTGTTTACTTTAAGTCTCTTTGAGTCTATTGTATTTGTAATAGGATACTCCTTGTACATATTATTATAATCTCTCCTTTGTACTTGGACGATCAACATACACTTAATAGACACAGGTTCTATTTCTCAAGCTCTCACCTGGTATCATCGAGTTTGGTTTGATCCAATGGCTGATGTCAATGATGGTCAGACTCTTTCGTCGAGTCGCACGGTGACTGAGGTTTCACCTGCTCCACCGTTGCATGCTCCGAACATGTTACAAAAGGCTCATCCCTACGTTTCCCTCAAGCTTTCGGCTATAAAATTTTTGTTTTGGAAAGCTCAATTGGTTCCGTTTCTGCGCGGCCAAAATTTGTTCGGGTTTGTTGATGGTTCGCACCTGTGTCCTCCGAAGTTTGTTGCGTCGACCTCGTCCGCACCTCCGGTCTCTAACTCTGCTCACGCACAATGGGTTCAGCAAGACCAATCCATATTGGGCATTTTGATTTCTTCGATGGCGGAGGAGGTCTTATACCTTGCTATTGGTCACAAGACATCCAGGAATGTTTGGCTTGCTGTTGGAACTGCGCTTGGCTCGACCTCACGTTCCCGCTCTCTTAGCTTGCTTTCTTAGTTGCAGAGAGCATTCGTCAGGGAGACTCATTGCCCGTCGATTACTTGGGTCGTGCCTGGCTTCTTGTGGAGCAGTTGGCGCAGGCCGGACGGCCAGTTGGTTTTGATGAACAAAACCTGCATATTTTCAGAGGTCTTCGACCGGAATACCGTGCCTTGGTATCCTCTCTTACCACCAAAGATGCTCCGCTTACGATTCCTCAGGTTGCTGATTTGCTCAATGCCCATCGGTATGTTTTTCAGGAGGATGTTCTGCCGCCTGTTGCTGCTTCGCTGCCGGTTGCGATGTATGTTTAGTCTCCAGCTTCTGGTCATCCACCGCAGGAGGGTAGTCGCGGTCATGGCAGGCAGCATCGTGGGCAGCGTGGACGTGGCCAGCGCGGTGGTCGTGGTGGCGTCCGTTGTCAGTTGTGCGAGGCATCGGTGCATACGGCACTTACGTGTTACCGCCGGTTCGTTGATCCGATGTCGTCTATGGTGATGGCCGGCGGTGGGCAGGTGGCGTCTCCTGGCAGTTTTGGACAGCAGCAGCTTGCTTTCCAACCTGGGCAGTATGGTGTTCATACTCAACAGCCGCGTGTCCCTGTTGCCCAGCAGGTTCCAGTAGATGATTTTCACTCCGCGCCTTTTTCTAATGTCTGGTACCCGGATACTGGTGCTAATGTTCACGCCTCGCTTCAGTTAGATGGTTTGCAGGATGTGGAGCCCTATGCTGGGGGCGAGTCTCTTCGAGTTGGTGATGGTGCTGGTTTGTCAATTTCTAGCACTAGTTCCTTTTCTATTCCGTCTTCGTTACGGTCACTGTCCCTACATAATGTTTTGCATGTTCCTAATTTACAAGCTTCATTGTTGTGTGTGCAAAAATTTACTTCTGATAATGATGTCTATTTTGAGTTTCACTCGTCCTTTTTTGTTGTGAAGGATCGTCGCACCAACAGGGTTCTTCTTAGTGGTCCTAGTGACGGGGGTATGTATCGGCTTCCTGTGTTCTCTCCTGTTGCGTTCTTGTCTGCTCGGGCTTCTCCTCAGATATGGCACGATCGGCTCAGGCATCCTCATTTTCGTGTTCTGCGTCAAGACTCTCCAATTTCCTGTTAGTGGGTCTTTTCGTTCGTTTAATCACTTATGTACTGCGTGTCAGATGGGCAAGTCTGCTCGCTTTCCGCTTTCTCATGTTAGATATTCTAGCAATTCTGTATTAGAACTTGTATACACGGATATTTGGGGCCCTGCCGCGGTTCCTTCGATTGATGGTCATCACTACTTCGTCATATTTGTGGATGATTTTTCCCGTTTTGTTTGGTTTTATCCTATGAAATTGAAAACTGACATTTATTCTATTTTTGCCAATTTTTGTACCTTTGTCGAGATATTCTTTTCCTGTTCCATTAAGGCTATTCAGTCTGATCTTGGCGGTGAATGCCATAAGCTCCATGCGGTGTTCACTGCCGCAGGGATTGTTCACCGGCAGTCCTGTAAATGGCCGGGTTGAACGCAAGCACCGGCACATTGTTGAGACTGGTCTTGCTTTGTTATCTCGAGGTCATGTTCCTCAGTGCTATTGGTCATATGCTTTTGAGTCGGCTGTTTACTTAATTAATCGTTTGCCTTCTCCAGTTTCTAGAAATGTCAGTCCCTATACACTTCTTTTTTCGCAGATCTCCGGATTACTCTATGCTTCATGTCTTTTGTTGTGAGTGTTTTCCATGTCTTAGGTCGTATAATAGGCATAAGATGGATTATCAGTCTGTTTCATGTGTTTTCCTTGGGTATCCTTCTTCCTTCAGTGGCTATCAGTGTCTTGATCGGGGCACCGGTCGTGTGTATATTGCTCGTCATGTTCGTTTTAATGAGTCTGTCTTTCCCTTTCATAGTTCTGCAGGTCCTCTTGGTCCTTCGACCTCTCTGCATATTCCGGTGCTCCCTTGGGCTTGTGTTCCATGCGTGGTTGCTCCCGTCACCATCTGTTTTACCTGCTTCTGTTGTTGCAAGGGATGCTGGTTCTCCCGCTGCAGGGGGTGCTGTTCAGTCAATTGTTGAGCCGGTTGCTGATGTGTCTGTGCCGGTGGTTCGGCGTGCTCCGCGTGGCCGTCGCTGTAACACCCCGTGTTACGGCCTTTAATCCCAAATTAATTATTTGATTAATCCCGTTAATAATAATTAAAAAGGATTTAATTTGGTTAGGATTCCCTTGAATTAATTAATATGGTCTACCATGGATCATGGACCCTTATCCCTAAACCAAGCCCTTAGTCCTATAAGGAATAGAATTAGTAAACGCATACCATTCAGACCCTAATTAGGACTCCTAGATATATATATATATATATATATATATATATATATATATATATATATATATATATATATATATATATATATATATATATATATATATAAGGACATAGGAGGCACCTAGAAGTCACACCACAATAGATATCACCACACAAGAATTCCCAAGGGACTCCCCACCACCAAGCCTAGGGAGATCAAACGGATGGAAATCTTAGGGAAGAACCTTAATAGCCAAGGGAGGATTAATTAAGGCTAAGAGGTAACCCATGTCTCAACAAAACCTATTTTCCTTGCTATGATCTCCTTCTTTGGCTCCCTCTATATGCTTGTGTCTTGATGAATTCCTTTATGACAATCGTGATATGATCTTGTGATTGATGTGATGATTTTATGTGTGATCTTGATGATCTTGATGTTAAAAGGAGGTTCTTGATATTTATGTGATGATTCTTAATGAATCTTGATGATTCTTGATGATAAAGATAAAACATAAATTTGATGATTTGGATGGGATTAGAGCCCTAGGTTGGGTTGGGAATTTGTATTATGATGTTCTTGATTTATATTTGGGCGGGAATTCGCACGTTCGGGCGTTATTTATGTTTAGAAGTCATGTTAGGATGTGTTCGATATGATTCTTGATTTTGATCCATTAATTGCCTACGTGGTGTCGTTATTTACGTTTAAAAGTGTCTAAGCATGGTTTCGAGTTCCACAAGGGATCCCGGGACGTGTATTTGATGAAAGAGTCAGTGGGGGGTCGGTGGGGGTAGGGGAACCCGCCACCTACCCGCTGCCCGAGAATCACCGCCAGGCAGCGGGCAGACGTCTGCCCGCCGGCCACCGGCTGCCCGGAAGACCTTCGCCGGCGGGTGACCCCCACCCACCGGCTACCCGCTGGTCTGTTACCACCCCGGGTCCTCGGCTTCCCCGTTTGATGTTCCCCATTCCCCGTGGTGTCCCAACGGACCCCCTGTTTGTCGTGCTTGAGTCTAGTTTGATGTTTCGGGTGTCATTCGTAGGAGAAAAGAGTCTTAGGAATTGCATGCTAGTGAATCGGTAACCCATTGGCCTAGGAGAAGAATGCATGAACCCCTTAGGACTACTCTTAGTATGTGAATGATCACACGTAAGTTTATTTATATGTCTCCCCCTTCCCAATGTGCTATTATGTGCTACAATGTGTTATGTGATGCATGATTCTCCAATTTGGTTGCGATCAAATTGGGTGTTCCTGAGCTGCGGTTCAGAAGTTATCTGCGGTCAAATTGGTTACTTATGAGCTGCGGTTCATTTTCCTGGCTGCGGTCAGTGATTCACTTCTTGGGCTACAGCCCACGGGCCTCGTGTGCAGATGGTCCACCGACTGGACGCGCCAGCGGTGTGTAGGGCCACCAGCCTGAGGAAGGCCATAGCCCACCGAATGAGTGATCAAGCGGTGTGTAGGGCTATGGTCGGCTACGATCCACCGAGTGAAGGGCCAGCGGTGTGTAGGGTCGTAGTCTCCGAGGATCTTCGCCCACCGACTGAGTCCCTCAGCGGTGTGTAGGGCTTGATTCACTACGATCTACCGACTGTGCTCATCAACGGTGTGTAGGGTCGTAGTCCCGAAAAGAGGATCGCAGTCCACCGACTGAGCGCGTCAGCGGTGTGTAGGGCTGTGATCCACCGTCGAGCTATCGGCGGTCTGTACGGTTGGTTGCGATCAACCCCCCTCATGTTGCGGTATGAGGTAGGGTGCTGCGGGGCCATGTTAGTGCTATATGCACTAACCCTCATGTTCGGGGCATGTGATTGGTCCCGTGGCGCCATCAAGGTGTGCTTGTGTGATTTGAATGATGATTGAATGATGATGTGGATGATTTGAAAGTAAACTGTGACCTTAGATACATGTTCTTTATGATGTTGCCTCTATATAACTGTTTATCATGGTTGAATGTGCTTATCCCTACTTAGCTAGAGTCCCCTAAGTATATCTCTTCCTGCTTCAAAATGGTTTTCTATATATATATATATATATATATATATATATATATATATATATATATATATATATATGTATGTATGTGTATATATACACATACATATATATATATATACAGTTATATACACATACATATATATATATATATATATATATATATATATATATATATATATATATATATATATATATATATATATATACATATACATATACATATATTGTATTTCAACGCGTTGGAGTGGGTTACCAGCATCATTCGCTGAACAGATATATTTGACTTTCAGGCACAGATGAGTAGACACTGGAGCGCGCTAGAGATCCGGAGCGTAGATTAGTTAGTTTCCCTTTCGGCCTGCGTGCCATGATTATGTATTGACATTGCTTTGAGGTTGTTTAGTTTGTTTAGCCTGTGCATATGAGTTTTCCAGCTCAGATGTGGCATAGCACCCCGCACTCTTATGTTGATTTTGGGATTTAATGAGAATTCACCTTTATTATATAAGCTTTAAAAGTTTCAAAATTTCAGGGTGTTACAGTCGCCGTCGAGTGATTCTTCCGCGCTCTTATGGCATGGCTCTTCGGCAGTCCACTAGTGCTCATCGGCGTTCTCCTGCTGCCCTTGTTGCCTCTATTGATGATGTTGTTCCCACTTGCTACACCCAGGCCGTTAAGTCCTCTGATTGGCGAGCCGCTATGGATGATGAGATCAATGCGCTTCTTCGGAATCAGACTTGGCGTTTGGTTCCTGTTACGGATGATATGAATGTGATTTGGTGCAAGTGGGTATTTCGGGTGAAGTGTAAGTTCGATGGTTCTATTGTGCGCTATAAGGCGAGGCTGGTGGCTAAGGGCTATAATCAGGTGGCTGGGGAGGACTACCCGGAGACTTTCAGTCCGGTTGTCAAGCCTACGACTGTCCGTTTATTGCTTTCTTTTGCGGTTTCTCGAGGGTGGACTATGCGTCAGTTGGATGTGCACAATGTCTTTCTTAATGGGCGTGTCACAGAGGATATTT